AATGGTCGAATTAACCATCTATCCTCCACTGGTGGTCCAGCTCAGGGACAGAGGGGCCGGAAACCAGCCGATCTAAATGTCCAAGCAGGAGGGGGGAACTCACCTAGTGTCAACCCCCTCAAGTCTCCTCCGCTGAGGCAAGTTCAGTCCCCCATGATGGGCTCCCCCTCTGGGAACCTCAAATCTCCTCAAACACCATCCCAGCTCGCTGGCATGCTCAGCGGTACCGCCGGCCCCAGCGCACCTCCGGCTCCTCCGACATCTGCACCAATGAAATCCCCCCACTCCATGATGGGATCAGCAGGCGCCTCTCCTGTTCATATGAGGTCCCCATCTCTTCCAAACCCCTCTCCAGGGTGGGCCTCCTCACCAAAACCACCCATGCAGAGTCCGGGAGTGCCCCCCCAGGGTGGCAAGCCTCCACTAAACATCACTTCACCAAACATGATGGGGGGCATGGAGCCAGGTATGTGTATCTTATCTTTATCTGTGATCAGACACACACAACCACAAAGTTCTTTTATCTTCTCATTTTCATGTAAATTTGTTCTTATTTAGAGTGTTATATAATTTTATGATATTTTGTCACAATTATCATATATTAATGGCTTAATACAAATATATGTTTAAAAATTCAATATAAAAGCTGCAAGGCGGTACATCACTTATTCAGAACTAGACCAGGGTGGGGTTGGTTATGGTCCAGTGGCTCCCCCTGCTGGCCAGCAACTTGAGGAACTGTACATCATGTAGAGACGATCAAAATTTTGAATTAGAAACAGATATGATAAAACATTTCTGTGTTGTATATTGCAAAAATAATTATAACATAAAGCAAGCTTCTGGTACTTTGATCCATTTCTTTATGTCATCTTTGTTCATTTTGTCTTCTTTTAGGGGGTAACGGGCCTCCCTCGGCTCCTCCCTCATCGGGGGCTCCTTCTGGCTCCATGTCCCTCCCAGGCAATGTCCCGGCTGGCAGTCCGTACACCATACCACCGGAACCAACACTCTCCCAGAATCCGCTGTCCATCATGATGTCACGCATGTCCAAGTTTGCGATGCCCAGTTCGACCCCGCTTTACCACGATGCCATAAAAACTGTAGCCAGCTCGGATGATGACTCGCCCCCAGCTCGCTCTCCCAACCTGCCTTCAGTGAACAACGGTGAGCCATCTTCTTTCTGTTTAACATGGGGTTTCAATTTATCACATGGCTTACATGAACTTCAGTGTGTTTTGTTAGGATTTTTTGTGATAAACCAGGGACCTGCAACCTGTGACTTGCAAGTTTGACCAAACAGGACTTTTTATGTAGAGACCTAGGGGTCAAGAGGTAAAATCTCTTATAAGAAGAACTTAAAATTATAATCCCCACACTTCTGGTCTTTATGAAAGACTAGAAAGAAGAAAACCAGACAACTTTTAGAAATCCTGTTTAAAGTTAGCCAAAATCCACCGTAAGATGGGATCAAATGTAACTTTTTTGGTCTACATGCAAACAGAATGGCCCAGTTAACGTCAAGACCATTGAAGTTCCAATTTGACTGAGTTTTAACTGTTTTGGACAGAAAGCTGGCAGACACCGAAAGACCAACTGTTGCAGCTAAAGATGGTGCTACACTGAGTTGACTCAGAGGGGATCAACAGAAATGCATTCCACATTTTACTCACCCCCTAAATATTTTGAAGTTTGTGGTTGTAATGCGACACGTAAAAAGGTTTATGAGCTATGAAAGCACTGTTGATTAACTGGTTTCTTCTTGTGCTTTTACTGAAAACCAATTTTTTTTCCTGTCCACAGGTATGGCAATGAATCACCAAGGAAATCCTCGCATGATGGGACCTGGAAACGCTGGACCCATGCCTGCGCTCAGTCCTCTGGGCATTAATCCTTTGGGTTCCCAGCCTCTTTCTCATGGCATGCCCCCTCAGATGCCCTCTCCGAATGCCCCCAATATGGGCCCAGGCATGATGTCTCATGGCATGATGATGCAACCAAACCCCCAAGACCCTGGTATGCCAAATCCTCAAATGATGCCTCAAGGACGCATGGGTTACCCTCATCGAAACCAGGGCTACCCTCTCACACAGTCCCCATCCCAACAAGGCCCCTTCTCCCCACACAATGGCCCAGGCCCCCAAGGCTTCCCTGGTCATTCAATGGGGTTCCAGGGCGAACCGGGGCCTATGGGAGGACGGATGGGGAACATGCCTCATGGAGGAGGGGGTGATGGGGGCATGTGCAAGCCAAATACCCCTGGTGGGCCGGAGTTCAACAACATGCAAGGAGGATTTGGAGATGCAGACCTTCATGAAGTGATGCGGCCGGGAGCATCTGGCATTCCCGAGTTTGATCTGTCCAGGATAATCCCATCGGAGAAACCCAGCCAGACTCTGTCGTACTTCCCCAGAGGCGGAGGGGAGAACCCCGGGGGTAAACCGCCTCACCCGTCTGGGTTTCCAATGCAGGCCTTGATGGCTGACGGTCCACCAAGGATGGGGATGCCCATGCAGGGGATGGGGGGTATGTCAGGTGGACCCGGTGGGGGAATGGGCCCCCAAGACATGCCAATGGGCAACCCAGGTCACAATTCAATGCGACCACCAGGATTCATGGGCCAAGGCATGATGGGCCCTCAGCACCGGATGATGTCTCCTGGGGGTCCAGGAGGGATGATGCAGGGGAGACAAATGGCCCACCCGGGCCCCGGTGGCTCACCTAACATGATGATGTCGCTACAGGGCATGGGTGGCCCTCCACAACAGACGATGATGATGGGGGGCCAAATGAGGCCTCGTGACATGGATATGGGATTCAGTCCGGGTCATGGAATGTTCTAATCCAACAAAAACCTTGTAACTAGAATGTTCTCGGACAAAAAAATGAAGAAGGTAAAAAGGATTACGGAGTGTAGCAAGTATTCAGAAACAGACGAACTCAAGTCAATGAGACGAAACACAAAATGAACGTTATGGAGCGAACCTGTTGCCTAGTGATATCTTGTGGGGGACAATTCCAGCTACCGAAACTAAGACGGGGCCTGGTTTGGTGTACTTTACTCACGCAAACATTTAATTTCGACTCAAGAACTCGCAGAATGTACGAGATTGTTGTGCATCAATTTCGCAGAACTGTTAGTGGGGGTTATTTTTTTGTTGTTTTTTTTGGTTATCTGACTGTAAAGATGACTCTGACATCAAAGAGGAACAAACTTTAAAACTAAAATGTCAGTGTGGAGATGCTACAGTATATGTCAACATTTTTTCAAATTAAAAAACAAAACAAAAAAAAATTGTCACAAAAGTGATATGGAACCAGAGAAAGGAGGAGGAATACTTTGTGCTTTGTGAAGACTTTAGTGGAAATCCATCTTGTCTCTCGCTCCATTGTTTTTTTGACTGTTTCTGTACAGTATATACGTGAGGGTGTGTTTGTGTGCTTGACAGATTGTATGTTTGTGTGGTATGTGTGTGTCTGTATGTATAGGCATTCTATCAGTGACCTCTTACGCCTCTTACCCAGCTTTCATTGGGGTGGAGGAATGCCCCCTTAAAAATACTGTACGGTTTACCATTGGTGGGCTATTCAAATTTTAGTCTATTTTAATTTCCTTTGTAACTCCAGTGTATAACAAACCAAACTATGACCTCATTAAGATAATAGTATTATTAAAAAAAGCACAAACATGGACCATCTGCAGAAAGCGTCTTCTTTTCTGTTTCTAACATGCACTCAGTGTGAGGATCTTGGCAGCTTTGCCACACCATCAAACTATTTTTGCGCCTAAAACCTTCAGGACTTTGCCGGCGTGAATAATATTGCTACTACCCAGACGTGCTCTGTGTCTTCTTCTTGTTCCTGTTGTGTTCCTGTTTTGTTTTTTGACTCTCGTTGACTCTGGGTAATAATCATTCCCACAGCAATAATCCATGAAGAGATGATGGTCCGCAGACTGGGACGGGAGCCGCTGAATGCAGGAAGCAGGATTGTCAGGTATTCTAGAGTTAGCGGTAGGTAGATCTGGTTAATGTTTTAGCAAGGCGAGGCGCAAGGAAATGTAAACACGTACTGCTTACCATCCAGTTGACTTCCTCTCTTTTATCTATTGTATAAGCTTGTCATGTGTTTCTCCATTGGCTTTGGTGCAGAAGAGCCTAACCAGGGCTGTTGGTGATGGACTACAAATAAAAGATATTGTTTTGGTATATACATGTTGTCTATGCAGTGTGTGTGCACTTGTTTCTGTTCATGTGCTCTTGTCATGTGGACTCCAGTCGGTCTTTGTCCCTTTTTGCATGTTAAATGAGCTCACCAGCATTCAGCGGGTACGAACAGAGCAAGTACAACCAAGAAGCTACAGCAGCATTGATGAGGGGATGCATCATGGAGGAAGAAGAAAGACAGAAGAAGCCAAATCTGACCTGTGGAGTATATTAGTACATGGTTATTGCCAGTTTGGCCATTAATTGAGACACTTTGCACCTGCTAATGGGACGGTTCATACCTGCTTTGACAGCCAACAATTTACATTATTTTACAAAATAGTCCGTTATGATGAAGTGTGATCATTTGATGTCAGGGAGACCAGCTTTTAGATGCCATTCAGCTCTGCAGAAGCCTGGTAAGGAGCCACTCATTTGCTCTTGTGGACTGGATTTTGGATTAATGGTTCCTCATGTCTTTCATTTAAAGTTTTTATTGCCCTTCAGAAGGGTTAGTGCAAAAACAAGAGTGAATGGAGTGCAATATATGTCCACAGAAAATGTAAGTCAAATTTGTACAGTTTAATCATTTTGTATGTCTACTTCTGTCATTAAGTCATGAAAAATATTCAGGCACAAATGACATGCAAAACGTTTAATTACAAGGATAGAGATGGGTTTCTTTTTAAGAGATGAAATTAACTTACAGGCAACTCAATGCGTCCGTTATTTTTTAAACCAAAAGAGCTCTTCACACTAACCTTATGTAAAAAAGAAAAGGTAATCAGGTTCAACGTAGAATAAAATCTGCATTTTATTTCTCTCATCCACACCTGATACTTACAGCTGGGACAGCATGTCTCAAGACGTTTCACCTCGTGAATAAAAGTTGTTTCACAGCAACAGTCAATATAAAAAGATCTGCTTTTCTAAGTCAATGTTAACTCAATATACTGTTATTGGTGCGCTATAGCCACTAAGTAACATTTCACTTTTTGTTTTTCGACATTATATATTTTCCTGATGAATGAAAGCTGTATTCCTGGGGGACAATAAAGCTTTGACACACAAAGGCAATGTACAACAATGCTGTTGCCTTAAGATTTAGCTGTACACTAGAAGGTGCAGGAGGAAAACCAGCAGTGACGTCAAGAATTGTTGACCAACAAAGTCCATTCTTCCAATGTGAGGAATGTTCACATGCATAAAACTGGACATCTTGGCAGACATCCCAGTATGTTTCTCCCATGATTATGTAGAAGTTACAAAGATTGGTCTATATCAGACTTTATAGACTGCAGACACCATTTCAAGTGTCAAACTTCAGGACAATACAATCAGGAAAAAAAATAAAAATCTAAGTTTGTGTCTTACGAAGAAAACGTATTTTCTTTATAAAAATAAATTGCAGGTCTACTTGGGTTTGCAAAGCTGAATTTGAATGAACCTCAAGATTATATCTGAGACCAAAGTAGATGTCAAAAACCTAACAACGTCTAACCATACTTCAATGATGTGAGCTAGTTTTGTAGCCACAGTAACTAGTTATTGAGTCGACCATAAAATCTGCTGAGTGTCAAAAGTGTTCAGAGGAAAGACAGGAAATACAGAAATGATTCCCCAGGCAGAAAAAAAATACATAAAAGGCTTATTTGGTATAATAATGATGTGAAAGTCAACCTCAAATACATTCAACTGGAATATCACCTAAATAGTGAAATACCCCATTGGTTACAGTCTACAAACATACTGAGGATGAAGCAGATACAAATGATTCAATTCAAAACATTTCTGCTAGAAAGAGCATCTGGTGTAAACATTACACCTGGTGTAAACATTGCACCAAACTTATTCAAATAATCATTGAAACTAGATTTATTGTTAAAGATCATCAAGTTTTTTAACTTCTCACACATAAGTTTACTAACTTATGTGTGATACTAAGGTTATTGGATGAAGGGGAGCCTGAGATGCACTCAAAGTTTTAACGTCGAGTGGTTTTGTGTTTCTTGGAAGATCAGGGATCAGTGAGTTCAGTGCTGTTGCAACGAGAATTGTAGCGTTCAAAGCTTAGCGAGTATGCAGAGAGGACCCGTTTGAACTCCTGCAGGGGGCAGTAGACTCCACTGCAGCCTGGTATGTGTTGATCCTGTGGAGCATGAAGCAAACTTGACTTAGATAAAAAAAGACGTGAACATCATTGGATTATTTTGAGGCAACTACTTGTGTGCCTTACCTGACCAATGTATGAGACTTTCACAAAAGCATCGCCCGTCTGCCGGCTTTTGTGCAGCTCCAGTGTCATGGAGGCAGCATACGGAGGCCACTTCATGTCAAAGATCTCCAAAGCCATGAGGCACGGCATAAGGGTGGTGTCATGAGACGAGTACAGAAATAACTTCCTGTAGATAAGAGTAAGATTTTAAAAAGACAGTTATAATTTCTGTAAGTCGTGAGTGGTCCATCGTGAGGCGTCCAACCTGTTCGCCTCTGCCGAGTTGCCTTGTAGTTTTTTCTCAATGTTTTCTAACAGAAGATGGAAGAGGGCCCCCACCGACAGCTGCAGCGCGTCTCTGTTTCAGACACAGCATTTAGGATTTAAAAATGGCTCAATGAGCGTAATGGGCACACTTCATGTGAATCACTGTTTTAACCTCTTGTTGGGTTCATAGAGGCTGCACATCATGTCCACAGCTCGCTCTTCCACCTTATTCCTCCAGAGGCTCAGAACCAGCGGCCTGGGAAGGCCGTGCGCCTGACGGTTTTAAAATTCAAGTCCGAGGAATTGTTGCGTTAATATACAGTAAAACAGTGCGTCAAAGTTCACACTGAGACTTTTTTTTAAGACTATTAAACAAACAAAAAAAAAACCTTTTGGCTATTCTGGGTAAAGAAAGCATGCAGTCAATGTAAAAAAAAGGGGAGCCTGAGATGCACTCACATTTGTTAAATGTGACTTTTTAGTTTTCTAAAACTACAATAAGACATTTTGAGATCCTTTGAGGTTTCTCAAAACACAGAGAATACAGAAATAGCCATTAATAAATACATTTAAGCTACAGCAAAAGGACTTTTAAATCCTGCAGTGAAAAATGATTTTTATGAGTTTCAAAGGCCTACAATTTAGGTAATTAAGTCAGACTCCTTTCCAAATTCTTTTATGGTAAAAACCTCAAGTAAATTTCCTTATGCATGTCCTCGTGTAGATTCTTAAAACCTCAAGAAATATATAAAATACACCACCCAAAGATGTTCCTCATAACTGCTAATGTTCACTAACATCTCCAAGTTGTTAAAGAAGAAAAAAAAGTTGTAAAAGAAAACCTTACAATGGCTGCAGAAACGTTTAAATGTTGCTACTGTAATGACTGATCAAAGTTTACCCATGAAAGCTGCGACTTTATCTGACCATCTAAAAAAAAACAAAAACATGGTCTGGTTTTGACTGATTAAATAACAGAAATTGATCCCATGCTGCAGGATGATTTTACTGATTTTGTTAGTTCTTGGTTGTCACAATAACTGACAAATAAATAATCAATCTGCAAGTGTCCAAGAAACCTGCTGGACTGCACCAACACATTCAGCAGTTAGTAAATGTGCAAGCTGAGGTAAGTCTCTGTAATAACTGCCTCCAGACTGAAAAGCCTGTGGTGAGACTCAGTAAAAAGTCACATGGTTCACAGAGTCACAGTGTCACCTCTCTGGCAACCATGTCATCCCTAATAAGGATGAAGTCGACTTGTTGGTGAGCAGCAATCCCCAGTGCACTCAGGAGGCTCTGCAGGTCTTCAGCGACGCCAGGCAGAGTGGACATCTTAGCCCAGCGGGGGCTGCAAAGAAGAAAAAACCCACACGCACACAATGTCAGTGGAGAAAAGCAGACACACCATGACAACCTGTCAAGGCACCTCCACTCCAGTCTGTTTATAATTTTGTACTGCACATTATTCTGGATTCCAGTTTGGAGTGCACGGAATGGCCTGAGAGTGACGTGGCTCTGTGGCAGGTTGGAAAATTGGACTTACTCGCTGAGGACTTTGAGCAGCTTGCATCCGTGATAGTTAGGGTAGAGAATTTCAGAATTCGCCTCTTCTGTTAGGATGGGCACAATATCTACACATCAAGAAGGGGGGGAAAAGAATGGTCAAAACATACGAAAGAGAAAATGAAGACACAAGGAAGTAAGGGAACAAGGAAAGTTACTATTAAGTAAAAGCATAAGGGCACAAGGAAGAACAGATTAAAGAAAGTATGAAATGTAAGAAGGCCAGGGATAGAATGAATATACGACAATACAAGAAGACAAGGACAGAAAAAAACTAAAGTACCCAAGAAGCAATTACATGAAGAACATAGAAGGATTTATAAGTCAGGAACACAGGAAAGAAAGGATTAAAAAACAACTTTTAAGACAATCAGATAGAAAATAATTCTGGCAAAAACAAGTATTTTATTCATTCTTGTCCCAATCAGTAAATAACTTCAATCTAATCCCAGACTTCTCCATATTTTGTGTCTTCTAACATGAACCCACAGACTTCTACTCTACCTACCTTTCTGTTTTTGTTTAAAGAGTCCAGCTATAAGGCACTTGGCAGATTCAATAGTCCTTACAATGTTAGTGGAGCGCACACTAAAAAATACGAATAAAAAAGACAAATTAAGCAATAACGGCAGTTTAGAAATTGCTACACATTTAGTCATTAATCCAAAAAGGTTCACCATGATCTTTACTTACTAGACCTCCGTTGAGCTAAAGGTGGGGCTGAGGAAAGGTGTCTCCTCTATGTATTTCTTCCTCAGAGTTTCACCCAGCTCATAAAGCTGCTGCATGCCTAATGTGGTCAGCTGACCAGAAAAGGAGCCACCCTTTGACATGGAAAAACAAAGTCAGATACACAGGCTTACCCAGATATTTGAATACTGCTCACACTGAACACTGCCACTTGTCTCTGGAATCGGAAACAAATTGGCCTTCTCTCGTCATTGAGAGAAGGCCAATTGGGGAAAAACAAACATCAGCAGCTCTCTCACTTTGACCACTGGTGTCACTCAGGGCTGTGTGCTTGGCCCCCTGCTGTTTTTATTTGAACAAAACTGTGCATCCACACACTACAAATCCTCAACGATAAATTGTTTTTTGTTGTTGCTCCCTTTATGGGGCCCCTTTATATGAATGATGAACCAAGTGAGGGAAGAAGTAAATCAGAGGTAGAGCTGCATAATAATTGAACTGCAGCAGTTACTGTGAAATCAACGTGTGAACAATTTCAATAAAATGTGTCTGATACATTTTGAGAGCTATGGACTCATGCTCATGCCAATTTAGCACGGGGTTACCATGACGGCACGCGTGAAGGCAGCGGCTTTAGCTCTGTTGGCAACAGATGGAAAAGAAAGAATAGTCCTTGGGAAATGTGGGTTAATTGCACGTGAGATCACCGCTGCATTTCTTTCACTTGTATATTTTGTATGTATTTCAAACATAAGGTCCACATACACAGACTAAAAGCACACGTTAGAGTCACACCTTTGGATGCATTTCAAGACAACACCTTCCACACACTGCTTTCTTGTTTGACACAAAAGGAAAGAAAAAAAAATACATCAGTTAAGATGTCAGGAAAAGATTTGTGAAGCTGCACAAGTCTGGTCCATCTTTTGAAACAATATCCAGAGCTAAAAGGTGCAGAGTTCATCCGTTCAAATTATAGACATAGTGGAAATGTTCAGACGTACACATGGACACAGACCTTCAATTTTGGAGACACATCCTGTGGTCCAATAAAACTTAAGTAGAACTGTTTTATGATGACCATGTTTCACCATTTGGCTCAGAATGTGAACAAAAAAAGTTTATTGTAAACCAACCTATGTTTGTCCAAACTCACTAAAATGAAAGTTGAAAGTTCATTACTCTCAAAAGTGAAGGAACACTCGAGTTCCAAGAAGTCCTCTTTCCAAACCTAATTCTAACCCTAATTCAATGGGTTTAAAGGGTAAGGTGGAATTAGGGTTGGAAGGAGATTTGGTAGGGATGTAGTTAGGGTTTGAAGGAGGGTTGATAGGAGTCTTACAATTAGGGTTGGAAAGAGGGTTGAAATCAGACTTGTAATTAAGGTTGCAGTTGGGGTTGGAAGGAGAGCTGAAATTAGTTGGAATTAGTGCTCCTTCACAGCCTTAACTCCAACCCTAATTCCAACCTTACCTCAACACAGCTGAAAGAGTTGTGCTCTTTATGTGAACACAACTCTCAGCAGCTGACATCATCGAGGGGGATACCATGAGACCAGTTTCAACCATTTCCCATTCCATTCGCCAGAATAGGAAACAATATCTCTTGAGAGAAACTCGTCTTGCCACAGTTAAATCTTAGTTTTTGTGATTACGCCAAAAAGGCTTTTCCCCTTTTATCTATCCCTATCAGACATGATAGTCCTGACTAACTGTGGTACAAAATGTTATCAAAATGTTATATTATCAAAGTGCTATTCTGGACTCAACATACTCCATCTAACCTGAGCAATTCTGGTGATGTCCAGATGAAGTCTTTTTTCACCAAGATTTATCTATATATCCTGATATTTTTGCAACCTAATCCTATTGTTTTTGAACAAAACAGATTTTTTTTCCCCAAAATGTAACTATGTCCAGGAAGCAAATGTACAAGATAGTACAAGTGTCTGAATTTGTTTCTACAGCTTGTTTCCTGCCTGCGTCATTCAGAAAACTCACATGTGATAATGATGAAAAAAAAAAAAAGTAATGCAGAATTTGGCTATTTGCCAGGTCCTATAAATTACCCTGGAAACATGTGCAGTTATGTTAATAAAAGCTTTCTGAGCTACATTTAAAAACAAAAAATTGCACAAAATGACTAGGATGATGATTACTTTTCTTATAGCAAATTAAATCCTTTTATGATTTCAGATTTTTCAGCTTTTTGTTTTCAGATTTTTATAATCCTGGGAACTGGGCCCACTTTAAAGCTTTTACCTGACCACTGATTTTAGTTGGTTCAGGTATTTCCCAGCTGTATTTAAAGAAGATGTAAGACCACCATAAAAAATGTTTTTTCTAGCTATTGCACCCCAATTATTCATTACAATGTATGTCACGCAAGTGAAAAAGCAGTAGTACGGTTATTTATTGGTGCAGTTTGGCCTCTTCCCACCTGAGTAAACCTCAGACATCTCATAGAAAATGTAATTTTCTTTTAAAAATAGCTTCTAATGTCTGTGTGCTTCATCTAACCTAATTTTCACCGATACTGGAAATGGCTACCAGTCAGGAAAAAAAAAGAAAGATCTGCAGAAGATTCCAGCTAGCAAATGATTTCGTCAAACATCTGGGAAGTATTCTTAGTTACTTGGTAAACTGAGGAACCCATAGTGCAGACTGTTAGCATACCAGCACAAACAGTGAGCATGCAGCAATCTCTCTGCTGTGGGAGAGCAGTTTCTTTATTACCAGCTGATAGTTTAACCTTCAGCTCAAATATGAAAACACTGAGTTTACATGTTGTAAGTAATTTGACTAGAGTGAATCAACCACAACTACTGTTTCTGTGTGGGTTAACACACCAAAACACTCTTTGTGGCTAAATGTAAAGAACACCTACTCACACTTAGTATGTTTTTGCGATAGGTTTCCTCTAAAGGAGATCGTGGCTGCGGTCCTCCCTTAAGATCCGTCACCACGTAGTTGATGTGTGTGTATGGTGGGGGCTCTAGGAGCGATGGGGTCCACTGAGCCTATAAATTCAGATGTGAACACATAAATAACTAGATGTAACTGGATGACCAGAAGAATCCAGAGAAACCAGTGTTACCTCCATCACATCCGGTATAGTCTTGAGCGGCGTCCGAGCGCCGTGACGGAACACGACCTGGACCAGCTGGAGTTCATACAGAGCAGCAGGGCATGCATCTTTTGGGTTTGGGGCTGCGCTTGAAGTGATCGGGTTTGATTCGGTTTTCTGCTGTGACCACCAAATCGAGCCAAAGGCCACTGATACCGAGCCAAACAAGCCTGCTTTGGTCAAAAGGTTCCTCATGGCTGAGCTGCAAAGAACAACAAAGCAGCAAATAGTCATGAACTCCAAAAATCTTTATGTAGCCTTGATGTAAAGTGGAAGCCATTGAAAGAAAGCGATGTCAAAGAAGCTGCTCTGATCAGACGAGACCAAAGCAGAACTTTGTGGCCTACATGAAAACGAATATTGCACATCACCCTGGAAAGACGGAGGGAGATAAACTAGGGTAAAAACTAGAGATAAAAAAACAACAAATTAAAATAACTAATGATTTCTTTTTCTATATTATCAAAAATTAAACACATAATTCCCTAAAACATTGGCTGACATTATGGAAAAAAAGTATGTTTTCTGAATACTTATTTGTAGTATAAATAATTCAAAACAAGTTTGAATTTCTTCTTGTGAAATGCTCATGAAATTGTGGCCCCATATACAGACTGAGAGGCAACATGCAATGTTTTTAAACATTAAATTTTAAAGCCTGCATTTGTTGTCCTTTGATTTGCATCAAAAAATATTTGTATTGTTTTATTTCCTGGCATTAACTTGAACTTGGTTAAGAAATCTATTAGTTTCCAACTGCATCACTTTTCAACAAATCTTATTGTACAGTCAGAACAACAATAAAATCCACATATTCATGTGTCACAATGGCATAGTCAAAGTAAATTCTGATAACAATCTGTGAGCTTGAAAATTTACAATGTCAAGACATAAATTGAAAATATTTATATATTTTTAATCATGGATAATTTTTTGGAGCTTTAGCTTTCTTTCAATCAACAAAAAAGTTGAGGGTGTATAAATACCGAGATCCATAGTCCTAAAAATCAATGTTTAATCCATTTCCACCGCAGCACTCTGGTGGCTCGTGTCTAAAGAAAAGATCTATACATTGCAATAACTAATCATAAGACACTTCTAAATATATAACTTATAATTCAAAGCATATGCTGTTACCAGCTTTTTCTTATTTACAAATAAACATTCATTTTTAGACAGTATACAAAACCAGTAATATATACATATTTAATTTTCTTACATTGATTAAGAGTAACCTACCTTGTTTTAAATTTTCTGTCAAATTCAATGAAGGCGATTCTGAAGCAATAACACTTCAGTGAATTTCCACAGCTGTGGACTTTTATGGTGTTGGAAAGTTTTATACATGAAAGTTCACGTGTAATAAGTCAACGGTAGGGGGCGTAACTTTCTCTCATCAAATATTTATGCTGCCCTGTCTGGGTGAATACAGCGAGATTATAACTATTTACACAGCAGTGAGCCAACACACACTGTTTCGACACAAAGACACACCAAAAACAATCCTGCAGTTGCGAAAACTGAGCTCAAACACACAATAAGTATTTCAAACCATTGCACCACATGATGGCACAAGAGGTTTAACACGAGCAGAGTGAAGCGGAGTGGTGGTATAAGGCGTCCCGCGGCTGGCTCTGGTCGTATTGACTTACTTTTTGAAAGCTGGGCTCAACTGACGGGCTGCTTTCGATATAAAATCCGGTTTTACTTCACATTAACTCGGGTTCTCTGCACAGGATACCGGCTGACACACGCAGACATGTTGCCGGGAAATGTAGGCAAGTACGCCGCAGTTTACAGTGACCGTGAACGAAACTCAAAGGCTCCACAAACTACATTTCCCGAGGTGGACCAGAACGCTTCATCTTTTTCTTTAAAGACGTCAAGCGCGCGTACAGATGCAAGAAGGTGCGCCGGCGCCCTCTACTGGATATAACTATGTGTACATGTCAATGAAATTATTTGGTGGGATTTTCGTATTTTTTAAATCTTTCTGTAGGTTTTTTGTTTTTGTGTGTGTGTTTTCGGTCACATAAAAGCAAATATTTAAATTGTTCATTCTCAAACGTATTCAGGTAAGTTTATACCAAAACTTATTTGGTATAAAGGTTAGTCAAGTACTGGAAACTTATAACATCTGATTTATTTTTAGGAAAAAAGTTGTCCGACACACTAAAATATAAGCCTGAAATAGTAAAAAAAGAAAAATGAGTCAAACATGACTTTTGTTAAAAAAAAAAATCCACATAGAATAAATACATTTTCAAATCTGTTTTTCTTTTTACAAAAGTTTTTTTTTACAAAACTTTTGAATTTAACACTTACAGTAGTTTGTGTACGTATGTTAAAACAGTTTGAAGTATTTCCCATGACCTGTGGGTGTGTCTGATGCTCTGTCTACAGCAAGAACAGAAATTTTAGATTGAAAACACTTAGATTTCTTTCTTTGTTTCAAAACAACAACACAGAGAGCAAAGGAAACAGTTAATTTGCTGCACAAATTAAATAGTATAAATATCACAAGTACAAATATCCTTTTTCCATGTTCAGCTTTTGAGCTTAAGTTAAGTTGTACACTCTTGCTACTGGCAGATAGATAGAAGGAGAGAGACAGAGTGAGAGAGAGATGCTTTCTGTGTAAATATCACTGCTGATCCTCCGTCTGGCACCTTCAGGCCCTGAGCTGTGACAGCAGAACATCTACAGCTGGTGTTTGCATCTCCTGGTTCTTATTTCCTGCTGACTTCACTATACTTATGAATTTACCACATATCTGCTGTGACTCAGGAATCTAAGAATTTATTTATTTATTTTTTTTTTCCAAAGAGCCATTCAACAAAAATTGAACACACTGTATGGATGATGGTTTATTGATTTGTTGTGGACTACAGACTATGTGAAAGAACAGAAGAGAATGTACTAAATTCCTTTGCATGATGTTTAACTGTCTGATTGTAAATATATCTATTTGCACAATTATTCTCTATATAGTATAAAACTAGACTGTGAAGCACAATGCATTCAAGAACAAAAAAAATTAAACACATTTTGCATTGAATGACTATTTACAACAAGAAATCCAGGACACCGTCTGAAAATACAAGTGCATTGTCGCCACCTAGTGGCTAAACCTGCTCATTACGCTTCACATCAGCAGGACCATAACTTTCAAAATTAAATCTGAATAACTTTAAATAGACAAAACAAGAAGCTACATTCTCACATCACGTTCGCTAATAAAGAGGAAATATTTCACGGTTTCATTCACAAATTAAAAGTTAGTATTGTTTGTTTTAAATCAAAAAATATAGTGCAATTGATTTAGTAGAGGACACATAAAAAAAAATCTATTTGCAGTGAAGACATGAAAATCCTCCTTAACTTTTCAAGGCACTTATTTTGTTTTGCAAATATGTATATAAAAAATGTTCACAGTTAATGCTATAACTCTTTCTCGATTTATTAATTACATTACCCAATTCAAGAGTGATTAAAATGATATATTTAAGTCAAAGGTATAAATGAAATTTAGAAAATAACTGAGATCCATATGATTATTTAATTAGAAAAAAAAAGAATAAACACACCCCACATCCTTCACAAACATACAATTTTGCATCCTTCCCCCCTTCCACGAGTTCTAAATAAAGGAAAGCATGTGCAATGGTCAGGTACCACACCTGTTACCCTGCTTGTGTTAATCTCTTTTTGCAGTTTATTTTCCATTTTTATATTCAAGCACAGAAACACGCCTGCTCATCCTTTCAGACAGCATTCGTATACTATGTTTATGTAGTCTTTTCACAGATTTCAGTGTGTCTTCAAAGGGGGATTTCTTCAATCAGCTGTCCCCTTTGTGAAAGTTCCCACAGAAAATCAGGACCAGATTGTCTTTTAGGAATAACTGCCAGGCTTTCACTGTGTTCTGCCAAGCTATTATTACTCCTGGATGTTTTTCACATGTTGCTACGTAACAAACACAGATTTCAACAGGTTTTATAGGGACTTCATGAGCTTAAACAACACAAAGGAGCACAGAGTCATGTCGTTGAAGGAAAAGGATTCAAGGTTTTCATAATCTTTTACACTTAAAAATCTGAAGTGTTTTTATTTTTCACCAGCATTTTACTCCTGTACCCCTAAATAAATCCAGGAAATTCACATAATGAGTACCCAGAGATCATATGTAGAATATGTCATCAGGTACATCAGAGAATGCTGCGGAGTCCCAAGTGCTGCACTGAAGTGCCCTTTATGGAAAAGTCAGGATGATGCTGCCATAAAATATACTGCTGAGAGTTGATGCATAGATGAAGGTATCTGCAGGATGAAGGTATCTGCATGATGAAGGTACCTGAAACCTGTTAGAGGCTGAATAACAATCTTGAAACTGAGTTAGAATGTCATCTTCCAGCAGCCTTTTCAGGTGTTAGAATTGCATACGTCTTGATATAATTAAGATATACATCAAAATACTTGAATTTGAAGATCACAGGCCCCGTCGGTCCAATACGATTGATGTTTTGCAAAGGTCAATGAACAATATGCTAGCCTCTATGGAAAGCTGTTAGATGCCAGATGTGTGCAGCAGGTGTGGGTGAAGATATACACCAACACTTAAGATTTCATGAATTATTTTCCTTTCCCTCGCAATTACGCCTCACTTTGTGTTGGTTCATCACAAAAACATTGAATGAAATATGTTTAAAGTTTCTGGTTGTAATGTAGCAAATTGTGAAAAATGTCTAATTTGTTTATACTTTTGCAAGTTGTTAGAGCTGTGTTTGTAAGTGACAGTTCTATCCTCACTCTCTGGCCCATAATGGACCTACACTGCCAGGTCGTCTTGCCGCGCCCGGCTGCTGGTGCCGCTGGTCCTGCTCAGGCGCCGTTTGTCCTTCAGGAAGCCTGAATGCAGCAGCGGCAGTGGCGAGCAGCCGTTGGGAAGCTCTGCAGGCAGCTGCTCGTATCTGATTCTCAGAAAGTCCTCCTCATCCAAGTTGTCACAGCTGTGGTGCCGCTCGGTTGCCAGGTTGGCCGAGTTCTGCTGCAGTGCCATCCTAGTGTTGAACGGATGAGAGGCAATGGAGGTCATGGGGTTCATGGATCTCGGCGTGGTCAGGCAGTGATTGAAATCCGGGGGCGGGGTGCAAGAGGCGGAAGGTTGTTGGTGTTTGTTGGATTCCAACCCTGTGGACACGGCCACAGTCACGGCTCTGTGGTTGCTCTTCTGTAACGTCTTCTTGCGTACGCACTGCTTGACGCTCTTCCAGCCGAGGTGGTAGAGTTCCAACACGGACAGCAGAAGAGACACGCCGGACACCACCAGCATGAAGACGATGAAGATGTTCTTCTCTGTGGGCCGGGACATGTAGCAGTTCACGGCATTGGGACAAGGCCAGGTTGTGCAGAGGTACATCGCCTTGAGGAATATCCCATATATGAGATACTGCACCACTATGAAGGTGACCTCCATCACTGTTCGGATCAAGATGCTCAGGATGTAAGTGTGGAGCAGGGCTCCTTTTAGGCGGACACGACCTGTCCCCTCAGCTCTCATCTCTTTCTGTTGGAGGAACTCCTTCTCCTTCTGCAGGTCTTCTCCGTCGTCTCCTTTGGCCTCCCTCTCCTCCTGCTCCATCCTCTTCCTCTTCTCCTCCCTACGCACTGTGTGCATGGCATGGCCCATGTAGATGAGTGAGGGCGTGGAGACGAACACGATCTGCAACACCCAATAGCGGATGTGGGCAATTGGGAAGGCGCTGTCGTAGCAGACATTGGTGCAACCGGGCTGTTGGGTGTCGCACATGAAGTCGCTCTGCTCGTCGCCCCAGGAGGACTCCGCCGCCGTGCCCAGCACCAGGATGCGGAAGATGAACAGGATGGTGAGCCAAACCTTCCCGACCGAAGTGGAGTGCTCCTGGACCTCTTCAAGGAAATTCCCAAGAAGACTCCAGTCTCCCATCTCTGCTCAAAGTCCAAGGAAACACCTGAAAAAAGGAAGTGAAAAAAAAAATAATAAAAATAAAGTTTGCATTCCTGTTGAATGAAAAGATCAGACATGATGTGTCAGATCATGTGTTCAAAAATAGCTTCTCGGCTGTGAACAGCTTGAGGACTGGACACAGTGGAATGAAAGCAACCAATTTCCCATGAGAGCGAAGTTGAGGAAGGCTGCGAGTCATTTAAAATAACATACAGTGGCTATAAAAAGCCCACTCACCCTCACTAAAACAACACGTTTTTTGTGACGTAAGAAATGAGAACATGGTGAAACATTTTCCAGCTTTAATCAAAATCGAGATCACAAATGTCTTCAGAGGCTGGTTGTGGTAGAATGTGTTGATAAAACGACCTATCAACAAACTGTCAAAATATGATTAAATTAGTAAAAGTTCTTGAAATTAATATTTAATCGTGTAATTTGGCAACATACAGATAAAAATGTGTGATTTATAAAATAATATTCAAGCACATCTGTTATCTTGAACGTTATTGTCATGTGTCCTCCTAGAGACTAGAGGGCGACGTGACAATTTATGGTGGGCCAGATTTGGCCCCAGCGCCTTGAGTTTGACACATATGCATTAGACCATTAATTTGCTGAAAGATTCAAAAACAACCCACTTTGCAGGACACACTGGGCTGGATATGAAAGATCCTGGTATGTTTAAGATATTCAAGATAATTCTTATAAACACTGGAGGATTTCTATTGAAGCTTTGGCAATTTCTGTCAGGTTGTGTTTTACATGAGACAACAATCTCCTGTATTCTCCATCCGTCTAGGGTTGAAAGACCCAAGACTTTTTCTTCCCAACGTGACTAAATCTCCATCTAGAACAAAACGTTCTGGTCTGATGAAGCTATTATTTAAAAAGACAAGTTAGACAATGTAAAAATAACATTGTATTGTCAGCAGAAGACATGTCTGCAGTAAAATATGATTTGGTTTTGCTTCTTCTCAGGTTGAATTGTGTTTTTTGTCAACACAGTTAATGCTCCTATATGTTTGCTTCCTGCTATGGAAACCAGGCTATTATATGGAATAAGCACTTAAGCTTGTCGGTGACTTCATTTGCTTTAATTGAAGTGTTTGAACACGACCTCTAACTACATCAAATGTGAAATTCAAAGAAATTACGCTTTTATTTTTGCGGATATTTGCATCATGGGAGCAGCTGTTTCTCTGTGCTGACAGAGAAACAAGAACCACCACTGCTGGGGTGTGAAGACTTTTTATATCCACTTTAATACCTTTAGTTAAAGAGAAATAATAAAATTTTATTTGTGCACAAGAGACAGGCAGGCAGAGAGAGAGAGAGAAGCAAAGTCAAGGCTAGAGCGAAGACTCTGTCCTTTACAGTTGTGACCTGGCCTGAGCTGCAGGCAGGCAGATCACCATTAGTGCCAGCGTTAATGTCCTGTGTGTGTCGAGCCTCCCTCCCACAGATCCGCATCTCGACACGTCACTCAGTTTTCTACATCTAACCTCTTCAACGGCATGTGAGAACATGCCGTAGCTGAAGCACTAGACCCAAACATGGCAGTGACGAGCTCTCAGCTGAGAATGACCCTATAAGGCAGCTCAATAGACAGCTTTATTGGTGCCACCAGTAACCTCCAGCCCTCCACGTCATTAATAGGTCGAGATGTGACCTCTGACGCCTACATGCTGCATGTACGTGTGGCCGCCTGTGGCTTTTACGGTGATGGATGAGCTGCAAAAAAGTAAAAGCTGAGAGGAAGAGCGAAAACATGACTCCCACTTTAAATCGCTACCTTACTTGGTGTGTTTATACAAAATGTGTACATTATTATAAAGCTTTAATGGCGTCTGAAGTGGGAAAATGGTACACAATTTAATATGTAGCAGAGAATTAATGTTCTCTTTCACTAACTCTTGGAAGTGATCCATTACTGGTGATTTCTTTTGGAAGCAACACTTTGGTCCAGGCTTGTTTCTTGAATGAACACAACTAACTTTCCATCTCTCTTTCACCATCAGCAATTCCATCCTAATAAATTCAGCTTTTATTGCAGCTGTATTATCTCTTAAAGATTCTTAACAGGAATCCGACATTTAAAACGAGGCTGATTTATTCGCTCGGAAAATAAAACCCATGGTTGCAGATTTTCGTTCCAAAATGAAAGCTGCCACATTCACTCTATTATTATTCCCATTTTGAGGAATGCGAAAGACAGTATAAGTTATATTTATCAACTGAGTAAGGACCTGTAACAGTTTGGGTCTCTTAGTTTCTCCTGCAGCCTGAACACATCACTCACTCCCTGACTGTCTGCACCTGCTCTCCTGCTCACAGAACCTACTTTCTCCTACTCCATGCTGCTTTCCTGACAAAATGGCACAACCTGATCTGTTTCCAAGAGAACCTTGAGGATCTGATCACTTTTTTGTGGTTTCATCATTTTGGATTAATCCAGTTTTGGTTCTCAAAAACTTTACAAAGATCCACATTTATGAACAGGACTGAGATTTTCTAAAACTAAAATTTCCTAAACCTCACAGTGTGACAAAGAGCAGAATATTGTAGTCATTGCAGTCACCAAATCTTCTAGACAAACATTAGACGCTCTTTACTTGGTAAATGGTTGCTTGGTAACTGTATTCAGACCTACTATCACAAACAAAAATATGAAGTTTAATACGCAATTCTGGGATGTGGTGAGTTCATGTTCATCTCAAACTTTTCACCAAAAAAAGCTGAAAGAATCGAGATGTGAATTTTTGAGGCCTGTTTTTTTTCCACAAACCTTTTGGAGTGCCTGGCATTTTGAACAACTCTATTAAATACCAGTTTATGTTATAGAAATACTAGTGAGGCCTGTGTGGGTAAAGTCTTTCAGCAAGTTATTTGTTTACATGTTTGGCCAAATCAACACAGAAAAGCTTCATTTTGAGGACTTTCTTTTACATCAGCCAATAAAGGGTGCCAGTACATTTGGATGTTGCTCTATATAAAGTAACCTGAGAAAATCAGGAGGAAATAGATCACAGTTATGAAAACATTTGCATAGAGAAATCTAAACTTCAACCCCGGCCAGGTCTGGTGGGCCGGTGTGTGACGTAGGACAGTTTGTTTGGTCTGCTGCTTTGTTTCCTGAACACACCCACTACCTGCGACAAGCTGTGGGGACCCGGCTCACAACCTTGCTCGCATGAGGTTGATGATCTTTACTGGAAGTAAATCACAAACAGGCTCGGAGCCGAAGGAAGGGAATGAGATTCCAGCCAGCACAATGGCAGGAGGTTACACATTAAAACAGCCAGCGCTCTTATCAGCTGATACTGACAACAGGCTTCCCTCACCTGGGTGAAGCATGCAAACAAAACATCGCCGCATGGAAAAGCACAAATTCAGTTTTGAGATAAACGTCTTGTCCTCTGGGTCAGAAACAAAGGCCTTTGAGGACAGTGACTTTGTTTTGAAAGAAAAAATCTTGACCTAAGTTGAAACAACGTGAGACAAAAGGACTCAAGATACTGGTGGACAAATTAGATTATAAATGGTTGTTTAGACACAATTGTTATGTAAATAATTACACAAAATAAAAGGTTTCCAGGCACAGTTCTTTTTGGATGCATGGGGTAATAACGTGCTTTGCTACTGTGGGGTAGCAAAGTAACAGTGGACTACCATTCCCTCGCCTGCTGCTGCTTTGTAAAATAGCTAAATGTCTTTAACCTGCAAAACAGAAACATTTGAGTGTTTTGTAAAAACACCCAAAAAAGCAGCTGATATGGCAAGCAAACAAACTGCTGGCTGGTTACCTGAGTAGATAGCCTGACTAATTAACCACCTATCAGTAACCTGTGTGATGTTTATGCAGATCTAAAAAGCAAATTTAGCTCTAGAAAATGTAAACATTTAGCAAGTCTATGCAAATGCATTCTTTAAACATCATCATTATATAAGTAACAGTCAATATGTCAGTGTATTCTAGCAGTAGTAACAATAATAACTGGTTTGCTGTTAAATCAACTTTTGTTTTACTTTCTTTGAACACAGTGTACTAGAGAAAAATGTTTTTTTTATTGCACAAGAGCATCAAAATTTTTTTTGCATTGTCATAATATTAAATTTAGTCAACATAGTTATCACATGACAGTCAAATACCAGAGTGCAACAAATTGTACCTGGGATGAGCAGACAATTTACCCGAGAGGCCTGTCAGAGCTGCTCTCGCTCTCTAAGGAAGCAATCTCAAACAATCTGATTTCTGCCAAACGAAAGCGTCAGGGTTCTAAACTACGTGAGAAAGGCCAGAGGTTACAGTCAATCTCTTTCAGTAATTATTTTTGTAGTGTAAAAAGCACTTTCTAATTGTACCTGTGCAGCTAGGTACAATTAGGCCAGGGATTTACTGTGATCCGTCATGGCCTTTGCAGAGCAGCCTGGATGGCCTGCATATAATCATCCTTGTCAGGTTTACTTAGAGGGTAATAGGGAAGCAATGAGGTATTTGGTGAGGGGGAAATCAAAGTGGTAAATTTCTTAAAATGCACCTACTTGTCTTACATTTTGCTTCATGCACATATGACGTATTTCTAAATTAAAATAAAGTCAAGGTTGACTGCAAGAGCCAAATGAACAATAAAAATGAGAAAGCACATGGAATTTCACCTCTTAATTAGTTGGAGGTCAGCTAAAACTCAACTGTGTGTGTCTGAAACTTGTCTGCATCGACACTGAGCTGGTGCTGGTGTGGACTCTGGATCAGAGAGGTAACAGGAGAAAAAACAGCTATTTCATTCAGTCACCAAACAAAATTGCGCCTGCTCATCTGACTCGATGCAATCATAACTGGAGAAACGCCACATGCCTTTTCCTCCTCGCAAAACAATGATAAATCCTGCAGTCTGTTGAACTCTCCTCACTGTTGCCTTAGAGGGCAGTGGCTCAGATTTAGGAATCTGGTAAGCTAGGCAGCTAACAAGGCTGGAGAAACCCTGCAGACAATTTTGCACCACCTTCAAGTTATGTTTAGATGACTACCCAGCAAAGCACTGAGCAATGGTTTAAAGTTCTTTCTGACAGGCTGTAACTCTTAATCGGTTTCCAGCAAAAGAAAAACAGATGCATTAGCAATGCTGCGATTTCTAACACTTATTATGAAACACAACGAAGGATAAACTCACCACATAACTTATAAGTTTGGGCACAAGTGCAAAACACTGACGGGGCTGATTTGAACGTTTCTGCACCTTTCAGCGCTGACCCGCCATGTTTGACAGACTCAGGGTCCTCTTAACAGACTGGAAAACATTACTTGCTTTGTACCATCCTTTTAAACACGCAGGCTTTTAGATGGCATTGTTTACAATTCCTTGGGTTGTCTCAACTTGTCCAGGCTTGTTTAGACTGCAATCAGAGGAGGAAAAGGTGTTTACAATGGATGGTAAATTTAGATTGTTTTGTTTCAAGCTTAACCTGAGAAAATTGCTCTGATTGAGGCGAAATGTATGACAACTAAAACTTATAGACTGATAGTAACCGATACATGTATGGTACATTCAAATCTGATATCTTTTGTATCACTTTTGACTTTATGTTCAGTTTTGAGTCCTTCTTATGGAGGCAATTTTCTGCCAAAATTTTGCAAACAGATTAAACATGCTGCACACACACAAAAAAAGCATATTTGACAAGCTCTTGTTGATTACAAAATAATGTCTTCTCACATACAGCACATTCTACTAGCACATAAAATTTAAATTTATAAACTCATCCTGCTTTAACTCCACACCACACCTCACACCTCTGTTTATTTTGCTAAAAACAAGAAAAAGTAAAGATCAGTTACTTTCTTCTGCACAAATATGTAGCTTAAGAGGAATTAACTAATTTGTAAGGCACCGTAGAGATCAAATCAACATTTTGTTTTTATAAGATGCTGTTTGTGTCTGAATGTGACACTTTTACTTTGCAAACACAGTGGATCAACCACCATTTGCTGTACAGTGTTCAGCTGCCCACTGATTCTTTTTACGGTGCATATTCAGAATATTTGAAACAAAACGCAGCTTGGGAAAGTGAAGCATAAGTGCCAATGATTCTTGACATGCTATGAGCTGATTTTGGCAAAGTGGAAAATAGCCATTCCTTTTCCATTATGCTGATTGGCTGTAGCTCAAAGAAATAAGGACAACCTTGGTATTAGGTTCTGCTGTTGTGCTAAGACAGTTTCCACTCTATGTACTAACGCACATGAAGGTATATTTGGTGTATCAACTGTTAAATTAGGCCGTTGTAAGACTTTGAAGAGGTAGTTTCAAGTATTTGAGTTATCTGTCAGCATCTGTGCTCCCTAACCTCTGCAAAAACTGGGCATCCACTGTAGATCCTCATATATTTCCTCTCTTAGCAGTACAAAGCTTAATTTGGAGCTTCAGTGTTGCATGGGATCCTGATTTTGTTTTATTTATTTATTTTTTTATCTCAGCCACAGCTCCCTGAACTTAAAAGGTTTCATTAATCTCACTTGAAACAGACATCAACATCTCTGTAGAGGATGTGAATTATGCAGACTCATCAGGCTAAGACATTGTTTTTGTTTTGTTTTATTTTGAGGGACTGACATCATTCTTTTTCTAGGTTCGTTAGCAAAATATGTTAAAGGATTGTTTGAAAAAACGTTTTTTTTCTTTTTCTTTTTTGTCAAAGTTGCATTGTGTGGAGCCTGCGGTGCGGCCCGGTGTGTGTGCTATGTGGCCGGTAAATTGTTTGTCAATTAAGGTCCTCGATTGTAGGAGACGCTTCTGGTTGCCATGTCCTCCCTATTTTTTTTTTATTGCGGCCATCTGAGCCGGGCCTTGACATGTATGCAGCACATACGTTAAGTCCCGTAGTTCTATATTTGAAGCGCAGCGTTAACACTTGCTCAGTTTTAAAAGTACAGCAGCTGTCTGGATGCTGGGCTGCAGGGTGGCGTGTATATCCTTCCCTGGAGGATTACAGTCAACAATGAGCATGCTTAGGTTGAGCTTGTATTGACTTGGTGAAGCAGGGAGTTGGGGATTGTGTGACCTAGAAAGTTGATCTGACGCAGAATGAGGGGGAGAACGGTTCCCTCTAATGTGAGTCACCTGTTGCTACCCTCCACACATCCAGCAATGCATCTCGGCTGCCATGCATCAGTCAGGCCAGCAGAAGCCGGCGGGCCAACATGCTGCCTGCTACCTTACATGGCTCTACGGCTGTTCATCTGCCCACCGCTTTACACAAAGCCGCGGCCTCGTTATGATCTATTGTTTGGCTGTTTATGGCAATACGCTGGAACATTTGGAGCAGACAGCTGAGAGGTGTTTAATGTGCGGGACGTTTGGATGAACTCGCTCCCAAAAGAACTGTCTTTGTAGCTGCTATTTGTGGAGGGGGAGCAAATTAAATGTTTGGCACAATTTCATCTATTTTTTTTTTATCTGTTTCACCGTAGTCAGATATAAAACATTCTGTTTATATTCTTTATATCCTTACTGCTCTGACAGAGGGCGGTTCATGCTGGTGTTTCAGTCTCAGCAGTTCCAGTATAAGCTTTAAAAAGGTTTAAACATTTCTGAGTCTCACCAGGATTAAAATCGAGCACAGATCTGTTGCTCTCATGATCACTTAATGTGTTTCAACCAGAGTGATGACACATAAACATCCTCTGCTGCACTGCAGGTAGATGGTCTGATACACATTCAGTTTAAATGCGATGCACCAGATCATTATATGGATAAAATCAAAATATCCAAGCCTGAGCCCTTATGCTTCATACGTTGCTTAAGTATTTAGCCTGTAGTCATCTGTAAGGTTACATGTAAGCTTCATTATAATAAAATTATTCATTGTAGTTTACCCTTTGTTGTATGTTACAATTTGGTTTTCATATAAAAATATTGGCTCAGTGGCTCAGTGACCCACATCTCTAAATGAGTGTAATGCTGCAACTCTTTGGGATAAAATTAAGTAATAATCATGACTTTTATTCTGTTAAATATCTGCTTTTTAAGCTGATGTGTTTCATAGATACTCTTGGATTATTTTGAAAATTTCCCTGAATAAAGTGACGTATTTTGGAGTAAAACACTTTATTCTGTGATGTTTTGCTAAACTGCAGAATCTCCTTCAATTCCTTCATTAAAGTTCTTCTCTCTATTCAACTACGGAAATTTGTGGAGGAAATAACATAGATTTATAAAATATTGACTAAAGGTTCCTTTAATTTGTATCTTGAACACATTGAATCCTTTACGCTGATTTATTGAAAAATGTAAATAATTTTAGTTTTGAATGTAGTGGCTATTTAGTGTTTTCTATAAATCAACACTTACGCTGATTATCTTATTATGTTTTTTCATGTAACAAGAATACAATCAAAAGATTAAGTTTTTTTTGGAGATATACAATAATATTTTTTTAACAACAAATCAGTCAATCTGTATTTATGGATATAGGTTGATCAGATCATCACAAAGAGCAGCTAAAAAAAGACAAACAGAAACAAAAAATTCCAAAAACATAATGAAATAAACAAAACAAATCCCGGGGGAAGAATAAAATGTAAAGAAATGTGTAAATATGGAGGCATTAGAGGTAAATATAATAACCTTAAAAACAAGTAAATGTTCTATAAATGTGATAAAATTGTTAAAACTAATGTCAAAAGTAATAAAAAGAGAAATAAAACAAATAAATGTTCATTTGTCACTACAATAAAACAAGACAAATAGAAGCAGTAAATAAAGTCAAAGAAAGAAAATTAAAACAGATTAAATGGTTAAATTTAGTTAGAACTAAATAATCTCAATCAATGAAAATTAAATTAACTTGAGTTAGAAACCCAACATAAAAGTATTTAGCTAGAAATGTCAATTCACTCATATGCACTAGTGTTAATAGTAGCAATCTTTCACTGTTATTTGCCACATCATAAATTAAAAGTGAAGGGGAATGTGAAAGCACTAAATTTCATTTTCGGCTGTCAGATCATGAGCCAATCCTGACAAAATGTTTCCTCAAATCTATCATTTACTCAGTAAACATCGCTGGTGGCTCTCGGTTTAAATGTCCCCACTGCTGCTTTTTGTTTGACTCTTTGAGTCTTTTGTTGAGAGTTATAAAGACAGAAGAGAGCGATCAGGTCGAAAACTGTACCTGCCAAGGAGGACGGCGACTCTAACGAACCCCAGGCCTCCATCAACAAATCATCCCCGACCTCACAAACTCCAACGCAATCTGGCAGCGATGTCTGAGAGTCCCCTGTTCTCTACAGCTTCACAAAATGGAAATCTGTCACATGTATAAACACATTTACCTTCGTTCTGCTTGTCTTGACTTCTGGTCAGGCAGAAGGTCCTTATGAGAGGAGATCAAGTCCTTCTGAATGTCTGGGTGAAGATGAAGAACGCAGAGCTGTAAGTGAGGCCACCTTCTTCTAAGGAACATCAGGAGGAACTGGTTTTAGCAGTGGCATCTGAGCGTTGACTTATTTGTCCACACCAGAAGAATAGCTGGGGCATCACAAGAGAGAGCGTGTGTCCCCCTTCTCCCCGGCCCCGCCCCCACTCGGACCTCCCTTCTCCCTCTCTTCCTCCTCCTCCATCTCCTCCTCTTCCTCTCCCACCTATCCCTTTCACATCTCACATCCCTGGTGCTCTATTTTTTGCTGGGAAGCATTCTCCAGCAGACGGGGGAGGAAGTGGAATTGTTTTCGGAGATCAATGGCAATTCCGCCTCAGAGTAAATGTCCAGAGTGCTCCAAGTGACCGTGTGTTCCTTGAGTTTTGGACTTCTGCTTTGTCTTCATTCACTTAGAAGTTGTTCTTCAACAAAAGGGACGTGTCTCAGCACAGCAAAACCATGTGACGCAACCGGCACTTGTGTTACAAGCAGCAGAGAGGCAGTCATGAGGTTTTAGTGGAAGCACTGAACCTGCTTTGTTCGTCTGCTCGTCCCTAGAAAATCCTGATTTTCAATTTGGAAAATCTTAAGGCTCTTTAAGTGAAAGCACTAATCCTCATTATCTGTCCTGCTTTTTACATAGTTATCTATTTGACATAACCACTGTGAATCTCAGCCTCGGATCAGCCTCCACGGTCTACTGACACAGAGATGTTGCAATGAATGTTCAGTTTTTGTTTTTTGTTTTAGCTGCACTTCCTCCTTGCTGAAGGCTGATGTTCATTCAAATGAATGTCATTTTGTTGTCAGGGCATCCATGCAGTCTCGGTCAAAGTTCATGGCGTTGGCTCTGGATTTAGAGGGGGTTTGATGATTGTTACTTGGGTGAATTAATCCTCATCTTCTCCTCTTGTTTAGGTAATTTAGCAAACCCCACAGCTGTCTCTGATGTATTGCACTGAACACAGAAAGAATTGCTGCAAGGAATGAATTTGGCTTTCTGCTTGCTTCACAGCTTCATATTTGAATGGTGAAAAAAGGGGCCAATTTAGTAGCTTTCTGAATCTCAAATGTTTTTTTGGTTTTTTTTATATCAGGCCACATTTAAAAACCAAACACAACTGGTTTGGTCAGCAGCTTTCATGCAGTCACTATTATCATGCACATCATATTATTTTGGGGCTTTTCATGCATCATGTGAATCATTCTCTTTGCATGGCAGATTGAAAGAACAATCCACCATCTTTCTCAAACTCAAACCAGGCACTGAAGTTCGAAATGAGTTCCCTCAAAAAGGATTTAAAAGGATAAACACACACAAACACACACCCATTCCCCGCTGCCCAGAAGTCTTATGGTCATAGGAGACAAAGATTGAGTTGTTTGACCACAACGGCAGAAAGTATGTTTAGAGGAATGAATGAAAGCCAGGCTTTCAAACTGAAGATCATCATTCAAAGTGGTGGAGAAAGCTTCCTGCTGAGCTGCTGTTTAGCTGCTGGCGGTGCTGGTGCTTTGCACTCAGGTAGTTTACTCTTCCTGCAAAGCCACTGCAGGAATCAGGACTGAATCAAACAAAAGCAGAGACCTACCACAAAAAAAGCTCCGCACAACAGGTGAGCATTTTTCGATGAACCCTGAATTAACGGGGGGGGGGCATTTCTTACCGCCCCACTTTTAGTTTCTGAAACATTTTCTGAATGGTCCCAGAAATAAAAATAAACCAGAAACCTTTTGTTATGCATACAAAAATGTTGTGGTTTCTCTGCATCTTGCAACATCAGTATTCGACATAGGGTTCTCCATAAATGTGTTATTTTATTCCTGTGCAAATTCTACAATAAATTAAAATACATTGAATACTTTTTAAATGTATCATTAATGGCCAACAGGTAATTTGACATTAATCCTGGTGAAGAGCATGCATACTGACCTGAACTGGACAGAGTGCATTGTCCTACACTAGACGCAAATCATTTAAAACACATCTTTGTAAAAATTTAATTTTGTTTTTTTACAAACAAAATAAAATTCTATATTTAATAATATCTTTACAGATTAATTTAACTGTAAATTAAACACATTTATAGCTTGCTTGTTTGTGCAGTCTTGATCAGTTCAGGTCAAATGAAAAACATGATCATTTGGATTTATGAAACTCATTCAAAATGATCCTTGACTCAATACAGTATCAGCATTGAAAGCACAGTTTTGATTTGTAAACCTCGGATGCGTTTGTAGAAATTCAAGAGGATCCTGTTGGGGATTCCTCCAGACTGAAAAGCACAAACTGGACCTGATTTTAGGAGATACACATGCCAAAAAAAGCAAATCACTCTTCCCTTTTTAACATTCACAGACATTATAAATGTTTCACAAATAAAACAACTTCTTTATATAGTGTGGATGATCTTGTCTAAGGGTTTGCACTTTCTTTGCATGTCTGTGTTTTTTCTGGATTCTTTCATAATCCAAGACATTTATGAAAGCCTTAGTTTATTTTTGTCTACAGCAGATACCAACTTAAAAATCACTCTTGAAATCAGTTTACAAACCTTTAGCTAAATTATTTAGTCTTTTTCCATATGATCAGATTAGTGATGATAAAGTAACCAAAGACTTGGAGCATTTATTTTCTTTTTGTTGCTTGCTGCCAGTGTCATGGCCTGATCAGGTGTCCGAAAGTCTAAATTCACCCACACAACAACTGCGCCTTTAAACATAAATCACAGAAATGTTTTGTGGGGTAAAAATAGCCGAGGAACAGAGTGGTAAGGATCTCATAACAAAACCCTCTAAGACTTCTATCAAGAGTTTGAACCCTTAACTTCTGCCACTTATTAAACACGTGCTGTGTAATATTTATATGGATTTATAAGGTATATAATTTTAGAAATTTCTCCCAAGGTTTCCTCTAAGATTAACTTCTTCCGGATCTAACATCCCGATCTAATATAGATCAGGTTTTGTGAGGATGTGACAGCTGCTGCTAGCTGCAGATAAATGTGATCTTTCTCAGTTTGAAGGCCATTTCCATTGTGCTGATCATCAGAACTGATTTTACAAGTAGAATATCATTCAGTGATTCCTTTGCTTCATTTCAGTGCATTGTTTATAGTTATAGCAGTGAAAATGTTACTCCTTCTTTTTCTACAGTATTATGTGAAAATTGAAACTGTCTTTCCAAACTGAGTGTTATAAAAGATTTAACCTTTTCATTTAGCTTTAATAGTCTCTATATAAGTCCTTCCTTAACAAGTATTGATGCGAAAAGCTTCCCCGAGTCACGTGAAAAGGAAAAAAAATATGGATTCATCTTGTAATGTGTAAAGACAATTATTTTTACAAGTATAACTGTTAATGTAAGCTTGCAAAACAGCGCTTACTTTAATGTTGGAATAGGTAAATTTTATAAGTGAAACCTGTAAACTTTTAAGTTGAATTTTGTGATTTAACAAATTCAGAAACATTATGGAAATAAAGTGGCAAGTGGCAAACATCTACTGACACAGAGAAACAAGAGAAAACCTAAACCTTAATTATCATGGAATTCCTCAGGGCTCCTTACTTGCATAGATACTTTTGTTTAGGTAATATCACAAAGCATCATAAAATACATATTCAACATTATACAAATATTACTCAGCTATATATTTCTAATCCTGGAAAGATATTTGATTCATTCTATGTTCAGGATTAACTTCAGGGTGGGATCTAAACACAAAGCGCCAATTATTATTTTCCAAAACCAAAACAAAAACAAAATATATTCAAAATGTTACATTTACAAAATTACTTCTTAGTCGTGTTTTTTACTAAAACCAGTAACTACAACGCACTGGGAATGCAATGACTGCAACATTTTACTCTCACACACTTATAAATAGCATAAATCTGTAGGTAAGATTAGTCTGAATGTATAGAGAAGGATTAAATAAACACACATGCACTACAGCATCATAGATGGAAACCTGTGACATTCATAACAACATCAGCAGCTGGATTTAGTTTGTGTTTTTGACCTAAACTGCGACAGTAAAGACAAAAAATAGCTTTCCTTACAGGCGCCTTTCGGCTCCAGATACGTGGTGTCAGAGAGTCTTAAATTTGGTTTATTCCAGAAGTTTTCATTAGATTATTGAAAGCTGAATGAAAGCAAACACTATTCATGCTGTGGACCTTGTCAGTTCCTCCTCCACCCTGTGCAGAACAAGGCTATCAAGATATGGTGAGAGTTAAGGATAAGCTTGTATTCTTAATGCCACCAACCACTGCCATGGTGCCACAAGCTCCTCAGCGTGCAGTCGTGGAGGTCAAGTAGCCTAACAAATGCAGGAAGACGGATATCTACCAGAGCCCTCATCCAGGGCAGCCTCAAACCGAGACGAGGACAGACGGGTGCTGCGCGAGTGTGCGCATGCCAGTGTGAACAGATTGACTTTGTTCTGACTGCATGGTTTACATTTACATGTATGGATGAGTGCTCATTATATACTGTAGTTTTATAAACAAGCTGTGAATGAAAGAACTGTGCAGCAGAAATGTAAAGGATGAAAGGCAGGTCAAACAAGCAGCCATGTTTGTTAGTCCTGCTGGGCTAAATTTATTTTTAGTTTAGTAAATGGAATAAGCTTCTTTTTTTTTAAATGTTTTTATATATAATCACATAACCCTTCTAAAATGAATAAAGGATTATTTTTTGCAGTAACACAATCTTACTTTCAATCTTTCAGTAATAATTAAGATTTGAAGAGGAAAAAAAAACAGTTAAAATGTGAATTTTTCAGCTTGAAGTGAAAATAACAAATGAAATTCAACCATATATAAATAAAAACAATGACCTTTTTTAAGTTGAAAATGTATTCTGAATGTATTTTTACACTGAACGCGAGAGTAACAACATGCAACATTAGAATTTAAGCAACATTTTATTAAAATCTTGGTGACACATATTTACTTCCAAGAAAAAAAATAGTTAGAATAGTTTCAATAAAAGCCCCAGTCGCACAAATACAGACACCCTAACAAGTGAACTGCATTTAATGCACTTTCTCTTTGTAATTAATGACTTTCT